CAATATTAGAAATAAAATATATTATGAACCCCAATTTTTGTGGCTTCCAGAAAGCTGCAAATACGTGGATCGAAAAAAAAAGGATGTTCCATAGATTACAGGAAGTACATGTACACGTCACTTTCAATATGGCGACGTACCGCGGGCTGAACGATGCAATGGCGGAGCACGACGGAAGAGCGTCGCGACGGACTTAGGGCCGCTTCTTCGGAACTATCGTTCGTGGTATTGGCTAATTGATCTTCAATCGCACAATATTGAGCGGAAGGGATATAAGAGCGAAACAATTGCACGACAAACGGTTCACGCAAATTCATCGTCGTCACCGTCTGCTTCAAAAGCAAAAGAAAAAAAAAATTTAAGAAAAAAAAAAAAAAGCAACGCGGTCGGGTGGAGTCACGTGAATTTGACGAACCGCGATCTGCTCGTCGGGGTCCGTCGTGCCTTCGCAAGATTTAACAAACAAAACTCGAGGAGCGGGCCTCGGTGCGCGACGTGTCACTTGCGCTCGTCGGAGTACGGCGCTCGCACCGTCTGGTAGGCTTAACGAGAGCAGCGTGAAGGCAAGACCGGCGAGACGTGCGTGACTCTGATGGGCGGACGATGGACCACGACAAGAGGACAAGCCAACGAAAGTGTGTGGCGTTGCCGAGACCAAGATGGGGCTTTGCAGCGTGAACGGCTGCAGAAACCATCCGCTGCGAGTTTCGTTCACCGGCACTCCCCTGTTTTGAATACGTCCTGAACTTCGCAGCAACAACTTATAGGCGCTTTTCTAAGGTTTCCGAGAGCCACCGGGCTGCTCAAACGATGAATTTCGACCATTTGTTACAACCGTGAGCGCAATTCATCGAAGTGGAGTTTCGTTCGTTCCAAATCTCATGACTTCGACAGTCGTGGTGCCCCTGCCAAGTCAAATTGAGTTGATCCGGCGTTGGTCATGATATATATTCATAAATCACCCTAGTCAAACTCAACTGCATGGTTCAGACTTGGTTTCGGTGCATACTAAGTACACCCCCCAGCGTTTCATGAACTTGTGTGATAGTGAACGCTCCACAAAATATTTCACACGGCGTTCAAAAGTAATCGCTGTCAAAATTCGTAAGTATTTACATTTCTCTGGATGCAAAATACATGTTTCAAGCTGAATGAAGCTACGCACATCGTTAGAGCGCTGCTATTGACTTGCACGAAAATAACGGAGTGTAAAAAACACACAAACACAATTTCTTGAATGTTTTGTTACATGACCAAATAAAAGGCAGCAGGCGCAGCCAGCTGTCGCGATCGTGAACAGAATCGCTGTAGGCCCTGGTGCCACTCAGTTCGTAGACGCAACCATCTACCATTCACTGGTCACATCTTGTTCATATCTGAAAGAGGGACTGGCGAGGAGGATGAGAGAGACGCGAGCGACGCGGGAGGATGGCTTGGGAAAGTTACGTGGCTGACGTCACTCCCTCCCCGTGACCGGCACAGCATGGGCGCCGTGGTGTTTGCAAAGTTCTGTGTTACGTAAAGTTAGGTGGTTTTAGCTCGGCACTTATTTCCTGAACCTACCGCAGTTGAACCGGGTTACCATGCAGCTGAAGGACTACATAAGGAAAACGCTCATTGCACCGCTCTCAATGTGCGTGAACGCTGCGATCTGCCCACCCCTAAGCCTTACTCTTCGCGCAGTTCGTCACTGACGGACGGACGAAGCTCAAAGGGTCGCCGAGGTTGTCGCCATGCGCGAAACATCAGTAGGTCATAAATGCCATCCCACAATAGCATTGATCAAAGGTGCCGTTTCCACGGGACGATCGACGGAGGCAGCGTGATCGAATTTGGCTACGCACTTGTACTCGCCCCCGTACCCCGCAGAAAACCGCGGTTGACCAGGCAGCTGTTGCTTGGCTTAGTTTGAAATAACATCTTTGGAAACGTTTTAATTTTCAATTTATTTTTTAGGATAATAGTGGCGCAGAAAGCACCCAAATCAACTTGAGCAGTGCGCTGTTCCATTTACCCAAATCAAGCAGAGCATGCGAAATATCCACCCGTCAGTGTGCACTAAATGCACGGTGTTACGGAACGCACAAATCAAATCGGTCCAAGCTGGTAGTTTTTAGCGTACGCTATACTGTTGTGTATTTCATATGCAAGAGCCAGAAACGCCATACTTAAGGCGTCAATTAATAAACAAATGTAAATGCCACGGACATGTCTGAGTTCACACACTTTAATAGTTTGAATAACTAGAGTAAGGTATCTAAAACTCAGTTTCCATTCATTCTGAATAATTACCAGGGTAAACAAACTTTAAGAAAAATGTCTTACACCAAAGCGCGTAAGAGTACAATGGCATTCGCCCAAATTACTCCAGCAAACAATACCTGTACGGGAAGGGAGATTAAAGTAGTCGATGGGCAACGAAACGAAAGCTGTTGATCTTGAAGGCAATAATAGAAATGTTCGAATAATTAATAGCCGATGTTTGTAGGAAGGGCTGTATTGCCCAAACCCATGTTGAGTAAATAAACTTTAAATGTGAGAAGTATGTTGCAATACACTGGGATAAAGAAGATTCGAATGCACACCAGCCGGTGCCAAGGACGAATGGCACCTCTCCAGCCCCGTACTGAGCGGAGAGTTGCTGGGACACTTTCTCCGGAGAACTCCGAAATATGTAAAATAAAGTTAGGTGTTCTGTGGGGAACCAGAAGCAGGGGAATGTTTTAGAATTTCAGGTGCTTACTGCAACACTGCAATCAAATTTGCGCACCTCTTAAAATAATGCGGAAACGGTTACCTGAGAACAAAATTTTAGTGTACAAAATTTACGTGTACAAACAGTCGTACGCAAATAAAAATTAGAAATATAAAAATAAAAAAAGCCCAAAATATAGTTATTGTGCTTATCTGTCGACCTAATAACAGAAAAGGTTGGCCAACTACGTGCCAGCTGGCATTGTTGTAGGATTTTGATGTAACCGGATATCACAGGCTTTAGTAAAACGTGCTTTAATTTATTAGTGGGATCAAAATAACCAAACAAGTATTAAAGAAAAAAACCCTGCAACCTGCGCAGAACTTTATTACTCTTCGTTTCTTTGTTTATATACCAAAAGAAATTTCCATTTGATGTGCTATTTTTCAGCAAAATTGTCCGGATTCAAGCGCGGATGCAAGGCGGCATCGGGGTGATTGGGGAAGCTAGGTGCAAAAGTGATAGCTTCCATATACATTGATTTTATGGCTGCTGTCAAAATAACTTCTACATAATACGCAGCACTACAAAATGTCCGCAAATAGACTCAGGGTGACAATGAAGTGTCACCTGCCACACTGACAAGTGATAAGTGATACGACCTGGTTTGAAACATATACGTTAGACATATAATAATATCTAGGATCTGTAAAATGCAGAATTCTATATGAACAACCGCTCCGAAAACATTTCATACGAGTAACCCATTGTACCCTTGTATTGTCTGCCAAAAAACAAGCAAAAAACATATACATATATTTGAAAATATTGTTTCTCCCACTATACATATGGTTGCATGGTTTTATCGGTCAGCTATATACTAGCGTGCGAGGTAGCGAATGAATATTGTAAACATTTAAACCACGAGCTGTTTCCTCCGTGTAATAAACGGCCGCAGTTTCTTCGCCACATTCCTTGGGAACAGCTGCCAGTTCCCAAAATATTCACGCGCGCGCAAGTACCCCCCCCCCCCCTCCTTTCCCCTCCCCCCGCATTGGCCTCGAATAACCACTACGATGCTAAGATGCGAGATCGTTCGGCTATACCACCGCAACCAACGGTCGCTGAAGAAGCTTGGAACTATGATTCTCTTTATTCTCTTTTTGAATTAGTTACACGCCTGATCGTGCACGCACAGCAGTTCTTAGAGCTACATGAGAACACAATGCATAAAACAAGCAATAGTAATATTGTCAAATGCAAGCTCTTCGGTCTCCAGCAATCTTCGACCTTGCTTCTTACCGAATTAATGCATTCATTCACTCATTTTTGAAACCCTTAAAGAGCTTTAATGGGAATAAAAGGTGCTAAGTACCACACCCATCCTTATCACTGTTATAGATTTTTCCGTTGCCCTATTAACTAACGTTTTAATAGCTGATCTTGTCTCGTTTGTGTTTAGTATTACCCTTATTGTTTCTTGCTGTTCAGTTGTTTCTGGCTGTCTTATTGCTTCTTTTTATCATATTGTATTGTGTTGTTTCATTGTTTTAGTTAATTTATTGCTCACTATTCCCTTATCGTTGAAGTTTTTCATATTTTCTCGATTTAATAGGGCTTTTGCTCGATGTTTTATATTTGTGTTGTTTTATATTGATAATGCGAACAATGCAAAGATGCAAGCGAGCTGGACAGGAATAGCAATAAAAATCCTAGGATTTTTCTTTGTGCTTTCTGCTCGGTGGACTCTGCTGTGCGAAGCTGATATGTATTACGATGTTAAATTTTATTTTCTATGTAGTGCTGAACGTGTGGACATTTCCAATGTTGTAATATGTATAGTGCTGACCCTGTTGATTTTCAGTTGATTTTTCTCCCAGTGTATTCTCAGTGGTGATTTTTTGTTGCCCACCCTACAAAATCTCCAATCGGAGATGTAGTATCAATAAATAAATAAATAAACAAATAAGCAAAGGGGATTCTCTTGCAGACGAAAACAGGGGTTTGCTGGATGTGCCCGTTCAAAAATAGCAAAAAGAAGTATTGCCTCTATCGGTCTACAGGTGGCTACCAAGAAGTCCTGCAGGCACAGAGCCCAGGAAAGTTCCGAGAAGCAGGTAGCGCGGCTGGAGAGGGCGGGTTTCCCTCAGGGCACTCTGGTTCAGGTGGCAGAAGGCCTGGCAAAGGGAATTTAATGGACACAGAAGCAACCCCGCGACAGAAATACGGCGAGGCCGGTTTTAATTCCGTATATGCACACCGGCACGCTTAATCTGAAGAAAGTGGCCGCTCGGTACGATGTACATACACGTGGTGTTCACCGCAGCCAATAAGCTGTCGCGCTTGTTCCGTAGGATCAACGCTCCGAGTGATTCAATAGATTCCTGCTAATTCAGGAACCGCACCAAAGACATATAGAGCACCGTGGGGGTAGTGTACAAAATACCCTCGTCATGCGGATGTTCTTATATCGGCCAGTCAGGCAAGTACATCGATGATTGTGCGCGCGAGCATGCTGCGGCCACGCTAGCAACATGGTCCACACCATGCCTCTCACTGCAGTCGTTGCCCATGCGCCGCGTCACATAGCGACAGCAGAGTTTTAGCTAGGTATCTAGACAGGCTTTCAAAATCGAAGCAAAAAGTGATAAGTGTATAAGTAACACGTAACTGTCTTTATTGGCAAACGAGGATGATTTTTTTTATGTGGTTTACACCGGAACCTGCTGGGACTGTCTGTTTTACCACGAAGCAGCTTTTTTTTTTTAAATAATCCTTAACAGCGAGTGCGGCCTGTTGCATCCACTTTATTGTCCCCGTGCTTTTTAGTGCTTACCTGCTATATCAGGAATCAACTGGCCCAAATAGTAACTTTAATTGAATTTTGTAATCGTTTTTCATTCCACTGGTGTGCAATCCCTCACATCGTTGACTCCTAAATAAATCGGCGATTATACGGTCTAACGGAACCCAGTGGTGTGGGGGGCTATGTTCGAGAAATGTTCCGTTTCTCCTAAAAAGAAATGGAAGTGACGGAAGTGACGGAAGTGACGATATCACGTCTGATTGGCTAGAGGCAGCAATGACGAAAGAGGGAGCTTTCGTCATTTGAGCCTCTAACCAATCAGATGCGATATCGTCACTTCCGCCACTTCCGTTTCTTTTTAGGAGAAACGAAACATTTGTCGAATGTAGCCCCCCTGGTTAACCGTTCAAACTTTGGCGCTCTGCTGCCAAGAAAGCATCTAAAAATCAGGTGCACGGATTATCCGAGTTCGAAAAATTGGCAGTTGTTAGTGAGTTTCAGAACAGCCTATGCAAAAGCTTCGCATATTCAAAGAAACAGCGCCGTCGACATGCGCCAATCCAAAACGCAGTTCGGGCTTGGCGCACGAGCCGTTGCTACAACCCTAATTTTTTGTATATGCCATTCCAAAAATCGCTGTTATGGGAAGCAGTTTTCGCGTTAGCGATCTAGCGATTTCATCACTTTCTGAGCTTTTTTATTTGACTTCAGGATACTGTTTCGTCCTCGATCTCTTCGGGCATCTGAAATTTCTACAAATGAATCCAACTCGTTTATATATTATGTATCGGCGAATTCAACTAGCCGTTAGTAGGACTATCTGGACATTTGTGCATAATTAAGCGAGCAGCATTGGCCGAATGTGGATTCGGATACGCGCAAAACACATTTGGCTAACCCTATCTCGCAGCAATCCCAAGGGACGGCTGATCTCTCTGTATGTACGGCTGGGACGTAGGGTTATATGACGTGACGTCCGCTGTTTCTCACGACAGAAACGATGTCTTCGTCCTTACGTTCGCTGCATAAAATGAAAACCCGTGTGATGCGGTGGTTTCCTTCTATACGCGAAGACATCGCGGAATTCATGCTCGCGGCAACTCCTGGCCGCTTTCGAGTCTTCAGAGATCAATGTCGCTGACCGCGTGACGTTGGTTGCTCCCATTAAGCAAGCAAAAACAGAAGAAAAAAAAGAAGCGAAGTCGCATTTGTCGTTGCCTGTTCTCATTGACTCGAAGAAAAGTCAGTTCTTGAGTTATTTCCTATTTTTGCAATACTCCGTTTCAGACTTACCGCTCATTCACACTGGAAGCGAATCCGCGTTCACGAAGGGATTGCGAACGCGGTAGTATAAAGATCCAGTACAATTGCACGCGCACTCGAAGACATCAAGTGCGCGTGCAATTGTGCTGGAACTTTATACAACCGCGTTCGCAACCGCTTTGCGAACGCGGATCCGCTTCCAGTGTGAATGAGTGGTTAGTCCGACCCACGGTGGAAGAAATACATTTAGGTGATGACTCTCTGTCTCGCGCGGCGACCACATTATGTTCGGCGCACCAAGCGCGCTTCACGGGCACGGGGATAGATGGCGCTCAAGTATAAAGGGGCTTGTGAAGGCTTGTGAAGGAAATTATGCATTCTTTACTCGGTTCATGTGTACCGTGTAGTGAAATGATGGATTTATGTTGGAGCACTGGCACTGATTGCCTTTTCCCTGTGCGGTTCCTGTTTTTTTTTTTTTTTTTTTTTTTATTCCGATGATGACTCAACGTGACAAAAATACTCGTATAAATATAAAACTTCCCGGCATTATCTACTGGGCCTTCAATAATTTAGAGTAATTTAGAGTAAAGACCTGGGTCGTAATCGGATGTTTTGTCAATCAACATCTTTGGTAACAGTTCCGTAACTTGTTTACACAGATTGCGTGGCTTTTTATCAGGTCGGGTGATTTTTCCCCCTTGCTCCTCCCTTATTGAAAAAAATAAATTCTAATAATGTTGCATAGTGGGGCCTAAATAATTCTTTACTTACGCATAAAGGATTTAGCGTTACAAATGGTGTATACATAAAAAAAACATGGAACATACAAACCTTGTGAGCAGAAAAAAATCCTATTTATGATACCATAGTGACTGAAACGATTACACAGTGTGATGACATACTGATTGACATGATGACACAGTGACTGAAAGTCAAACAATGCTAGCGGTTATAAGACGTAAATCACTTTTCATCTATACTCTCACAATGTGGTGGCACCCCGTCTTACAGGTAAAAAAGTTGCTGATTTCTTTATTTCTTGAGCTTGTTTGTTGATACTCATCGTAATATGCTTACAGTGTTGTCGCATTCGCATGCTGAAGTAGTAGTGGAGCAGCTGGGCAGTTGTTTCTTCTTTCTGTTCAGCGCATGGAAACGTTATTGTGCATGTGTCAAGAACACTGTCGATTGTGTCCCAGTAGACAGTCTGGTGGCTTTTATTTTCCACGAAGAACTGTTCCGCTTTCTTCAGTAGCTGGAAAAGGTTCTTGCTGGTGTGTATAAGGCTTCCTCTGTTCTTCACGTTTGTCAGGGCTGCTTCAGTAGAAGTGTTTTTGTCGATGCTGAAAGCTGATCGGCATGCAGGGCAGCGTGTAGCTTTTTTGTTTTATTTTCACACTCAAAAACTCAGTTACATAAGATAGCATGCAGTCCACAGCCTTGGTTTCTTGAGCCTTTTCTGTCCAGACATCTTCGCATACCCAGTCTTCGACAGAAATTAGACTGCCAAGCTTGGCCTCCACTTGGTCAACGAGATGAGGAGACTAGGTAGTAACTTGCGATCGGCCCTCGGGATTGCACGACGCCATTGCTCTAGGCGAGCGGCATTCGATGGAGCTTTAAACAAGGACACTCGCTCTGCGCAGTTCCGGTACCCCGACTTGCAATTGGGAACGAAGCACGTCTTTCCCATCCTCATAGCATAACTTCCTCTACGGGTTAAGGCTCATCTTCGTGCACGATGGTGGCACCGGTGATTGACACAGCACCAAAGCAAAACATGAGGACAGCCACTGACCGCACACCAAAACCACACCGCGAAAAAGGCGAGCCAGCTACGCCCCCGACACCGTTGGTTTGCTCTGTATGTTTATGCAGCCTTGATGGAGATACGCCACGACGGGTAATCGGTCTCTTAGCTGTAGATGAAAAATTTAGCCAGTGCAGTACAACCGCTAACCTGGGGTTTTTAACGTGCATCACGCAGTAGTGATCACACGAACGCGTGCCGGTACGAAACTCATCCAGATCGAAACGGGCGGGGGCGGCGGGGATCGAACCCAAGAAGTTCCCAGCGCAAGCTTTCGCTCCACGCTCCGAGCTGAGACGCGTTAGCCCACTCGGCCACTTCCTCCCTTCCCGACACCGTTGCCGCCGAGGAGAGACCTTAAGGCCGGTCCACACACTTGCGTTTAAGTGCGTTTGACTGCGTTGCGTCGAGAACCGAAAGCGAGTCACCTGCACATCTGTGCTTCGTATGAAGCGTGGAATCCAATTCAAGGAATCATCTTGGCACGCGATAGAAGCAGCAGGCATGTCCTGGTTTCTCGCTGCCGCAACGCAGTCAAACGCAGTCAAACGCAACTGTCTGAACCAAGCTTTATACCCACGGTGCTCACACCTCAGCGCCCTCCGCGGCGGCGCGGAACAACTACACCTCGTTTCACCTTATGTTGCACGGCAGCGAAGGCTAGAAGCGCGAGCTTATAGCATTGGCAGCTGCTCTTAAGTCACGAGAGCTTGTGCCGCCGGGATGTGCCCCAGAGCAAGGAGCTCGCGCTTGTAGCCTTTCCTGCGGTACATCATAAAATGAAAGTGAGTATATAACTCCTTGTTCGAAGCTAGCTCCGAACACGATCTGGCCGCTCGCTCCCCGCGTGAAGAGCGGCCAGAGTCACCACCTATATGTACAGGGTGTCACAAAAGAAAATTTACACGGTCTTTTTTACCGCAAAAATAAACTAGGCATCGCCGAACGCTCATTCTCCGCCCAAATGTAGTGCTGTAGGTCACAACCAGATGCCAAAGTTTCAGCCCGGTCCGATAACTTAATCAAAAGTTATAAGTGATTTTTTGAAAATTTCAATGGGAAAATGGCGGCCGACGGAGTTTTCAAACACATGGGGCTCTATGGCACCAGAAACCGAAAACGGGCGAAAATGGGCTCAATTTTCCCATTGAGATTTTCAGAAAATCACTAATAACTTTTGATTAACTTATCGGATGGGGCTGAAACTTTGGCATCTGGTTGTGACCTCTAGCTCTACCTTTGGGCGGAGAATGTGAGCGTTCGGCGATGCCTAGTTTATTTTTGCGGTAAAAAAGACCGTGTAAATTTTCTTTTGTGACACTCTGTATTTCCTCCACCGTGGTCCGACCACACCCGGGGGGGGGGGGGGGGGGGGGGGGCGCCACGATCTAATGAAGTCAATCGAGCAAACGCCAAAAGTGCTTCGTCACGGCGCTCCTTATCTCCACCAAACATGCTCAGCCGTCAAATGCTCTTTGTACGTTGACACTGCATTATGTTTGACATGCTCTCGCGTGCGTCTTCGCTATTCCCCGAGCTCCTTCGGTTGATCGCGGTAGCTCCGCAGCCGATGCCATTGCGGCGTTTTGCATAAAAGACCGTGGAAGAACCAATCACGTAGCAAGAAACGCGAACGTAAAATATGGCCTATTGAACGTATTGCGGAAACGACGCGAGTGAGATGTCCGCTTCACGCCAGGAGATCCCCAGGGGATCCTCGCGAGTCCTTTATTTGGGCGTGCGTGGCGCCCTTCGTTGGTTTACTTTACTTTTTACTTGTTTTACCCTATTTCTAAACTTTATGGAGGATTAAATATTATAGGTGGTGCGAACGGCGGTTCGAATAAAAAAACACCGCGTCTTTTATAGCAGTGCTGGGGAAACCGATGACATTCCATTGCAGTCTTAAAGAAAAGAATGACGCGATCGATCCGAATGGTTATTCGCCCACTCTATTACATACCGATTATTTGAAAGCAGAAAAGAGAGGGGAAGTCTTGATTCGCGTAAGAGCATTAGTCGGGTTTTGTCGGGAAGGTGCGATGGCGTGAGGCGGCTCCGTCGAACACCGGAGGGTGACACAACGCCAGTGCGGTGGGCGATCTAATCGGACGTCGTTCTGTCAGGCAATTACTCACCCCGAACAAATAAGGGCCTGCACACCCTCCCCGCCCCCCCGCCAGAAAAAAAAAAAGAAAAGAAAAGAAAACAACAACATCAACGTCAAGTAACACCTGTGAAAAACATCCAATCACAATGCCGGTCGGGTGTTTTATCACAAGTTTGTATAGTCCCTAAGAGCCTATGGGGTATTAACACAGGGGAGAAAATCCTCCATTTGCTCTCCGGGATGCATCACGTGGTAACAAGGTCACATCTTTGCGCGGAGCGTCGTTTACGTAGAAATCTCAGGGGAATGGGGGAGCTTTTGTTCGGGCTGCACAAACGCGTTGGCTCGGGATCCCTTCGCAATTGGCGGTATTTTGTTCGGGTGTCTGGCATCTTTACAGACTTTGCTCACCGGTTTACCGGCGGCGGCCTCGGGATCGCTTAGTTTCTAGTGGCTTACGCTGTCGCGCACGTCGTCCGAGGCAGCCGAAGGAGTCTTCGATATTCATCAATGCCGTCCTCAAGCTGCTCCTGGCACAACGGGTTTTGAACTTTACGTTCCTTGTGTCGCCTCCACCCATGCAAGAAGCATAATTTTTTTTATTAGCAGGAAGCAGTTCGTTGTATGCTGATTCAAACAGCGCTGCTGCACTCTAAAAAAAAAAAACAAGAAAGGTAGTGATTGCACGTTTTCCTCCCTTCTATTGAAGCGCCCTCAAGTGGACACGAGAAGATGGAAGGAACGAGACGTTTTTCTCCTTCTCCAGGCAGACGGGAGGAAAGATGCGCCCTCCCTTCTCGTCCTCTTTCGTGATCTTTTTCGAACACATCTCGCGCATTGTTTATTAAACGTTGTTGAGCTGATAGAGCTTCAGCGGCAGCGAAGGTTGACAGCTATTCCGTCTCCCAGTCCAAACACGCAGGGTATCTCGCTTGCACTGACATTATCCGCGCTAATTTTGTCAAACGTGCAAACGAAGCCGCTAGAAATAGCGTAGTTCCGGAGCACTGCCAGCGGTGCTACGAACACTGGGCTAAGATGGCTGTCTCCGGATCGCAGAATGACATGACGACGTTGACAAGGTTATGCAAATCGCAGAAACTGCGTCTAAGACAACGAGGTTTTGCTGTGGGTGACTGCGTGTCTTCTGTGCTGCGTCCGGCTCTGTTTTTTGATGCCGAGTGCCAACCGACAATCAAACTGGTTTTGTATTACCGAGAGTCAGCAACATAGCACAACATCGTGATGACAGCTAGTGTTGTGTGTTGTAGTGTTCGCGTATCAGTGGTGTAACAGCAATATGAGATTACGTAAACTGTCGGGCATTCATGCCAGGCTGGTCGGGCCGTGATCGGAGTGGGCGGAGTGTCGCAGGTTGACATTTCTAGACTGACTCGAATATCTTCTCGCCACATCGCATGACGTCGGCCGATGTATCCGGCTTCACTTGGTCATCTCAACTTGGCTCGGGGGCTCGACCGAATTCGTGGAACATGCACTCGTCAAATCTAGATCATATTTCATATGTACACAGAGCTTAGAATATCCTACCGTTACTTGAACAACCCAGTAGGAAAACTGCCATAGAGTATGCTATCAAAAAACTTTGCAGTGGCTTAGCTCGGCTATGCCAGGATATACGTAGCGTGAGAAAAGGTTCAGCTATTTATTCTTAGCTTTCCTGGTTGTCTAGTATTAGCTTGATTATCATGCTTACTGTTGCTTCAATGACACAGACACGGTATATGCATTATATGACACATGTATATTTATCTTTTTTTGCTCAACATCTGGTTGCTTCTCTATTGCCACAAAAACGGCTCGGTGGTCAGTGTAGTAACAAGCTCCCGTCTCTATGGCCTTAACGCAGTATTTGGAATTGGTTATCTGTCTCTGATACACAGGATCAATGGTGGTTCCCCATTCAGTAGGCGGCGCCGCTAAACTCAACGTTTCACGCAAGGCACTACTTACCGGCGTCAAGTCTTTCGTGTGCCACAGTCTTTCACACACGTCGCACACACATCCAAAAGGATTGTTTACGAAGTCCGTCTCGAAGGTCCGAGTCGCACTGGCGCTTTCACTAAGTTTCACCGTATAGTCAGTCAATCGGCGAGCCTTGACGTTAACGATGGCGTCTTGTTGTCTCTGCGGCTGAGATGGTCGGGCACGTCGCTCAGCCTCCTGGTGACGCCGCTTTGCTAGACGTTCCTTCCTTTGCTTCGATGTCTCCGCAGCACGTTTAGCCTTGTTCTGTTCGGTCTTCTTACGCTCAACCGCTAATTGCCGGGCAACTACTTCGGGATCCGAGTTAAGCTTCGCCGCTCCTCTGCGCCACTGAGGTGCAATTTCGCTCGCCTTCTCCATGGCTATAGGTCTGTTTCTCTCGGCCAGAGGGAGCTGCAGCGTTCACGAGACGCGACCACAAAAGAAGCGCTTCCGATAGCGTCGGCGAGACGCGACCATTTAATGGTGACGTGAAGCGGCGTCCTAGCGTTCCATCATGTACACTCCACGGGCAAACTAGCGTCTGTATAGCTTCCCCCGGATTCAGTTGCCTTATGGGCGGTGTCATCAACATACATACGCTTAAGTCCTCGCCATATGAACTAAAATGTTTGTCATTATTTCAATCAAAGGGGTACTCCGCCGATTTCTTCATGGTTCCCGATTTGCTTGAAATTTTGCTGAACTCGCCAAACTACATCGCCAAGATGGTATCCCAAATGTTAGGTCAAAATAATTTTTTTTCACGAAGGTATTGAATTTACAATTCTGGTTCTCACCGTGTTTTTCAAACTGAAAGTCTCTACTGGCAACAACGAAAAAGTGACGTCATTGGAAGTGCAGGGGTTCACTCTTTGGACAGTAGAATTTGTTCCCAACTGATTCGAAGCAGTTTCATGGTGTCAAATGAATGTTTTGGGAGCTCGCTCCAGTCCCCGCGCTCCAGCACGGAACAAATGATTGGCATATTCTATTTTTTAGACTGCTCGCCCGACTGGCAAGCTAACCTTCCACTGACGTCACGGCCCTGAAAAGGGCGGGTATATTTGAATGTTTGTTTTTGCATCATTTTCATTTGCCGATTTCGCAATAACTATTATGAATTTCACGATACTAAATAGCATACCAGAAAGGGCACAGTCCGGGGAGTCAGAAAATGTAGTTAGTTGAGGTAGCTCAAAAATCGGCGGAGTACCCCTTTAACGCTATTTCTAAACCTACTCCAGTTACCACACCTCAGCAAGTTGCTTGTCTTTTTTTTTTTAACAGATATTTATGAATCTGATTTGTATTATTGTTAACTTCAGTGTTTGCACTGTTCGAGTTCCACAATGTGTGTGCAATTCATTGCACGTTTTCCTCTTTTGTACATTTTGGCGTTTTTGTTGTTGCATTGGAGAATAAGCTTTTTTTTTTCATCCCTTATATGTATCAGTCACGACTTCTCCCCCATTATTGTAATCCCCCTCATGTAATGCATCAATAGATGCTTTTGAGGTCAATAAATGAAATGAAATGATTGATCGGAGAAACTATCAATTATCACCTTCAAAATTATATGCTTGCTGATGTCGGTTTAAAATGAAACATACCCTATGCAAATGAAATATATTTTAGAAATATAAGCGCAAATAACCTTGAACGTTTGAACAACACCTAAATCGTGAAGACTGGAGTGCGGTGCTATCTAGCACATCGGCTGACTACTTTCTTGGTAGATTCATTATTTTGTGCGATCGTTGTTGTCCTTTCCGATTTCCCCGCAAATCTCGCAAACCCTGAGTTACGCATAAAATAAAACAATAAAATTAAAAATGCCGTTTGTCACCGATTTGTGCGCATAAAAGAAACACAACTATCGTCTTTATTAAAAAAAAAGAAGAAATATTTACTAGCCCGAATTTTTAGACATGCAAAACGTGCATACCACAATATTTTGTTTGAAGGTGATAAGAGAACGAATGATGTTTCGAAAAACTATCAATTCCTTATTTAAACATAGGTTGCAGGAAGAGAGGTCAAGAGAAATTACAATTGATGATATAGAAGTAAGTGGCGTGGCTTTAGCAGAAAATTTAATGAATATTTCGTTGAGCTTGTACAAAGCCTACATTCAGAAGATGCTTCGAGATAGGTACTGAGTGGCAACGAAAGTTTGTTCGTTTTACTTACTGATGAAAATACAATAATTTCAGCGTTTCGAAATAAAATAAAAAATCCTCCGACATTTATAATCTTCAAAATAAACTAACTAAATATATACTATGGTTGATTGTTCCATGTTTGATGCACATTTTCAATCTAGCACTAAACAATGGAACTTTTCCTAAAAAATGAGGGTAGCAATGTGGATGCTTGGGCTAGTTGGTGATTCATGCTTGGATGGAACAGCGCGGGTGAACAGTCACACTCACATGCACACAAGAAGGAAAAGTCACAGCGCTGCTAGTCTGTTTCCTTCTTGTGTGCACGTGAGTTTGACTGTTCATCCGCGCTGTTCCATCCAAGAGGGTAGCAAAGGTATCAGTTCTCTACAAAGTCGGAGATAAAAATATTTTGGGAAATTAATGACCCATTTTTATTTTGCGTGTATTTTCTAAAGGAATGGGAAAAGTTGTGCATCAATGGTTAAATAGCCTTTGTGTAAAATCTTAAATATTTGCTCCCTGTTAGTATGCCGGGTTTTAGGAAGGGTCGTTTGACTGAAATTGCATTGACAAAACAAAGGGAGTGAAAGCACGTAACACAAATACCTTTCATACGGTGAATATTCTCTTGGCGAAAATAAAATTGATATATTAGAAAGTGTAAAAGTTTTTGGTATAGTTTTTAATCAGTATAAGATGTGGGATGAAACTTTGCAGCATATATGTAAAAAAAGACTCTCCAGGATTGATACAATTTATACATCATGACATACTCCCCATTTCGGGTTTGCTGCTCATCTATAATTCTCTTTTTAATTCGCAATATGACTACTGCTTTTTAGTTTTGGAAAGCATGACATAAAAAAAAATGTTAAACAAATTTAAATTTAAAAAAGCTCCATTTAGTATTATATGCCACAGTCCTTACGACAGTCACTCGAAGTCACTCTTTAATAAATTTAATTCAGTGCAAATTCTAAGTCATTACGACTTTAAACTTCCCCTTTCCTACAAAAAAACTATTTTGAAAACAACGAAAATATTTATTCAACAATGTCCAACCTTGAGCGAAGAAAAGTAATTCATGAAAACTTCTGTGTAGAAAGAAAAAATAGTGCCGCACTCCAGAACAAACTTTGGAATTGAAATGCTAAGGTATTGGGAAGCAAATCGAGCAGTCACGCCTCTAGCCGTATGCTTCAGCTGTGGGGACAACAAACCGAATTTTCTTCTTTGTCTTTGATCCCAGAAGTCTAATATGACGATTCGAAGGCCGCTCTTCGTGCGACAAAAGCAATGGTCAAAGCGAAGCGCTCGTGCCCAGACCATGCTACACGAGGTTAAATTTTTGTAGCGTGAGCTACACTGGCCGAGGTTGAGCAGTTTCGCGTGGCTCGAATAATGAGCTAAGCTCCGTGCTGCGCATGCGCGATGAGCAGTGACGTCACACGGCGCACAGCTGGCGCGCCGGAGCCGCCGCCGCCGCGCGCTCCGCCGCTGCCGCGCCCTCCTCGCCGGTCTGCACATCCTAGAGGAGTGACGTCATAGCCGCGGCAGACGCACTGGCGCCGCCGCGTGCCCAGCTGTGCGTCTCCGTTGCGCAGTAGCCAAGTCTGACGCTGCACCGGAGCCGCTTGATAGCGCCTCTCAATTTGTGCGCATAAGCTCACGCTACGTATATCCTGGCATAGCCGAGCTAAGCCACCGCAACGTTTTTTTTTTTTTGTTAGGCTGCGCCTGTGGGCACCGAGCTGTTGGGACAACAAGTTCGATAAAGCGCCCCTTATTGTTCGATCTCCTGCCCAATACACTTCCCTATCTTCTAAATCGTTTAGACACACTGAACATATATATAATTTGTTTCAACTTCGAAAAATATATGCACAATATTGATTAAGGTATCCGTCAGTGTTTAACTACTGGAATTCGAACTAAATGCATAATCACTATTAATATTTGTTTGTGTTCTTATATTTTACGTCTCTGCTTGTGCGTAAATTATTTATCTGTCAGTGTTGAAAATACTTGAATGCAAACTGAATCTATGTTCATTATTCTATTTTAAGTTGTTTTCTTATATTTTTATGTCTGTGATTCCGTTAAGCGGCGTTTCTTCATTTTTATGATCTGCTATCTGTTGGCGAGTGATTTCATCTTCATTCACGCTTCGCGATATTTTCTGTTTGCCGCCCAACAATGAGCCAAGCAGACTGCTTCGAATTTGCTTTTTTGCGAGCGGTTTTTGGTTTCGCGAATGGTTTACCACTGCTCTGTGATATGCAGGGCTGACGAAGGAATTGTGGCTCGAGGAACAGCAAATGTAAGATGTAAAGTGCGCGAAGTGACTCAGTATTGGTTTTCTGCATTTAACATCACAATGCTGACGACGAGAATATTGAGTGACTCCTTTGGAAACACAAGTTTTCGATCACTGAAAACAACTCTGGAAAAATACTGTAACTTTAAGGTGCACCTTAATTTATAGATGAGTATTGATGATTTACTTGGAACAGAAACAACTTGAATTACTTTGTGTTAGATGAAAAGTTTCCTTTGCTTTTCTTTCGAGTTGTGACTTTATTGTAATAGAAAATTACATTTGTAGTTTTCATTCCTTTTTTTTACGCCCTGGCATTGCTGAAATATGACGTTCCATAACTGATGACCGAATTTGAAGGTAGAAATCAAGCTTAACACTCCGATCTAGCGCTCCGTTTCGCTCGTATTCAACCTGAAGTAAATCTTTCTTCCTTGGTAATTTTTGTGTTATTTAAATGCAAAGCAGATGCAAATAGAACGCATCCAATGATAGAAAAGCGGTAAATTAAAAAAGAAAATTGGCGGGGATTATTTTTGAATCATTTTTTCTGTACATCAACATCGAAAACTGGTGTGACTGAAGTCACGATATAAATTATGATTTAAATCACGATTTAAATAATAATAATTTCTAAAAAGAAACGCGGATATTTTGGCCAAACTTTCTAAACTAAGGGAACATGTTACCTCCTATCCAACTCGTTCGGCGGCACGTTGGGCTGTGCCTCTTTGCCATAACAACTATTCCATGCAGTCTCTAAAGTATATGCTACCTACTGTACTAAATTTCCTCTTTTAAAAAAAAAATGTTTATATAATGTCTGTCACAATGCAAGATTTATTTTCTTATTTGAATTGAATGTATTACTTTTCTGCGATAGGTTATAATCTATT